GTCTGGGGACCGCGGGAGGGGCGGGGGCGGCCGGCGGGGGGCGCCTCCCCCCATCCCGGGCCTGACCCCCTCGCGCGCCCTGGGGGTCTGGACCCGTGGGGATGGGGGACGCCTCGGGCTGGGGTTTCCCGGACCGCGGGGTGCGCCGGGGTGGGAGAGTGCCGGGTCTCCACGGTGAGCCCCGTTGGCTTTACGCCTCAGTCTAGGCGGCAGGTCTCCGAGCCACCTACTGTGTGCTTCGGCCGCGTGTGCCCCCTGGAAGTGGCCTCTGACGTGGGAGTGAATGGCTGTGCGCTCGGCTCTCGGGTAGTGCGTGCGTGTGCGACGGCGACCCGACCTCCCCACCAGCTTTCTGCTGAGTAACCCTTCCTGCCGGTTTCTGGTCTCTCCTGTCTCGTCCGGTCTCCAAGAAGACCCTGAGAGCGAGAAGAGTCCCCTCCCCCATTATCACCATCACCCCTGCCTCCGTCCCACATACACTAGCCTGAAGTAGCCACCTACGTGGGAGAGGAGCCCAGAGATCCCTGGAAGGACCCATAGTTGCTGCTGCTCTCCCAGAGCCGCAGGCGGAGGGGGGCAAAAATAACTTCTGTCCCCAGCTTTTCCTGGGGAAGAGACTTAGATCCAGGCCGCCTAGCCTTTCCCTCTCAAGGTCTCATTATTTGTGCACTTAGGCATTTACACACCTACTGTGTACTAGACATGGACTGGTGTTTTGTGTCAAATGTGAGGGGCTCGGTGCAGGGAGAGGGGAAACCAAAGGAGGTAGGGACTTGTCTAAGCTTCTCCCAGCCCCTCATTGCTTCCCCCAAGGGGCTTCTGGAACCCCTGAGCCATGGTGCTTCCTTAGGAGCAGCTTGGGTGGGCAGAGATGCCCTGGGACAGATACTTCTGAGGAGCAGGTGGAACCACTGATGCCCTACACAGCTGCTGCATCCACCTATGACCTCCCCTGCCCCACTGCCCCCACCTTATGTCCTTGGGGTTGGACTGGAGCGGTTGGGGTGGTGCCAGGAAGCCATTAGGCCAGAAGCAGTACACAGCACAGCCAAGTTCTACCTACCTCCCCTTTCTCTGTGCCCCACCTGTCCCTGTGCCCCACCTTTTCCCACTTCCCAGCCATAATAACACTGAGCAATGCATAGATAGGAAAACAGAGTACTTGTCCCAAGACCTCATCCTCCCTCAGAGAAGGAGACTCCTTGAGCCTACGTGTTACCCACCTCCAGGAGTCTGCTCACTCTGCCAGTTCTTGCACACACAGACCTCCAGACAAGGATCATGTCTTTTAGACCAGAACTTGCAGCTCATGGCACAGAGCTGGGCAAGGTTGTTCTGCAGTTGGTATTTGATGAATGAATAATGAAGAAATTGGCCGAGCATTTAGACCTCAGCTCATGAGTGGCTTCCCCAGGAAGACTTGGCTTTTCTCTCCCCACTACCCGCCCCCCCCCCAACAGATTATAATCACCACTATTTATTGAGCACTTGTATTTGCTAAAGGCTGGACTGGCACTGTCTCCTCTCAACTAAGAGGTGAGCCCATTAGAAGGGAGACAGGTGACAGCCCAAACCAGCCCTTTTCCTTACTATGCTCTTCTGCCTTAGAGCCCTGCAGGCCACTTGCTGAGTGTCTACCTCCCCAGATGCACTGCTTCAAACAGGCGGGATGCTCACCATTTTAACTTCATGCCCTGCACACAGTAGGCCCTTGAAAATGGGGTGTGTGTGTGCGCGTGCGCACACGCATGAATGAACAAGTGAATGGAGAGATGGAGAGCAGAGGGTGGGAAGGGCCTTCTCCCTACCAGGGACCCAGCCCTCTGAAAATAGTCTGATGAGAACAGCATAGAACAGCACTCAGGCAGGGGTCATGGCAGTCCAGCCCACCCTTAGTGTGCATAGTCTTGGAGCCACAACCAGAGTCACTCTGGGCACCTGCCCTTCTCTGGATAGAGGCCAGAGTATCTGACTCAGGATCCAACTCTGGTTCTGGAGCTCCCAGAAGGTTCTGAAGGCCTTGAGCTGAACTTCAATGATCTTAGCTCACTCTCCTCCCTCCCCCAGAGGAGATGGGCATCCTAGAACCTTAAAGTGGGAGGTCAAGGTTTTAGTACTACACTTTAACCTCTATCAAGGGGCCTCTCTGTAGGAAAGAATTCCTTTGCAATTGGACAACTTTCTCCCAAACTAGAACGCTCATCAGTTTGGGAGATTCTTCGCATCTCCCCAAAAGTCTATGGCTTGGGGCAGGGGTGGGAAGGGGAGCAGATGGGGACACCCTCACATTGGGTGCCAGGTACTGCTCCATCAGCCCTTTGAGTGACAGATGCAAATATTCTGCCGGGGCCCCAGCAGGCCGCTCTGTCCCTCCCTCACTCGCTTGCTCGCTTCCCGGCCAGCTCGCTCCTTCCTTTATCTTATCAAAGCCCCGTAATTACAATTGCTATTTTGTTTCCTCGAATCTGCAATCAGAGCTCCTTGGCCCTGATGAGGGAGCGCCTGTCAACCTGATCGCTGAGTGACAGCCGGGCCACCTTTCCTGGCCACCCCCACACTCCGCAAACACAAACATACACACACACACACACACACACACACACACAC